GTAAATTCATAATGACCATAATGAGTACGGAATGCGGTCTTTGGGATGTCCTCTTTCTTGACAGGAATTTGATGGTATCCTGACCGTAAGTCAATCTTAGAGAATACAGTAGATCCTCTAAGATGATCAAATAAGTCATCGATACGGGGTAAAGGATAACGATTTTTTATTGTGACTTTATTCAATTGACGGTAATCGATGCAGTCTCATCGACCCGTCCTTCTTTCTTACAAACAGAACGGGTGCTCCCCAAGGGGAAACACTCGGTCGAATGAATCCTTTATCAAGCAGTTCTTGTAGTTGGGCTTTCAACTTTTTCATTTCAGCAGGAGCCATACGATAGGGAGTTGCTGATATCGGTCCTATTCCAGGAACAAGGTCGATGGAAAATTCTACTTCTCTAGAAGATGGTATACCAGGAAGTTCGTTAGGAAATACATCAGGAAAGTTACACACTGTTGGCATGTCCTTCAATCCAGGAGTTACTTTTGATGTGTCTCGTTCATTACATAAATAGGCTTCACATTTCTTGCGGATAAGGCGCCTAGCATGTATGTACCAGATTAATTCAGTAGGTTTGGGTGTCAGTTTTTCTTTCACTTCTATGGTCCTTCCATCATTGTTTTTCAGTTGTATCACCCGTCGTCGGCAATCAATAACAGCTTGATGTTCCGTAAGCCAATCCATACCGAGAATGATGTTGAATTCCTTGTATAGTAACTCAACAAGATTTGCAAGGAATTGTTGTCCTTCGACAATCAACGGACAATCTTAGTATCCATAATCTAACCTCATACTATGTCCTAGTGGATTAGACACTAGTATAGGGTGTTCTAAGTTTTCTTTCAATATGTCAGCTTTGTCAGGCATAGGTACATAGATGTAAGATAATGTTGATCCAGGATCAATCAGCACATGCATGACAGTATCGAATAATGAAAACATACCCTGAATGACGTCAGGGTTATCTTTAGTGCGTCCCTTCATGGAATATGTACGGGAAGGCGCTTGTCCTTGTTGTTGGTTTTGATTTTTAACAGGATTAGATCCTGTAGTCGAGTGTTGACTGGGTGCGGGATGTGTTGATGCCGCCTGACTAGCAATAGAGGCAGGTGGAAATGGCTCTCCAGGATTTGTGGGACAGTTTTTTCGGAAATGTCCAGGTTTTCCACAACCCAGACATAATCCTTAAGCAAGCCAACACTCCCAAGGATGGTGTCTCCCACACATATTACACATTGGATTTTTCCATCCCCTTGACTTGTTGCCAGACACCACTGATTGGTTTTGTACAGATTTCCCCTTCTTAAAGTAGTGTGAGCTACTGGGTCCTTGAAATGGTCTTTTCCCACTCGGGACAGAATTTGTGGGTCGGTGTTCACTTCTGTTAGCACCTTCTTTCTTCAAGTACTCCTTACAAGCATTCAGATCCTTGTCTACTTTAGCAATTAGATCATAGGCTTCCGTGAAGTCCACCGTTGGTATGACAGATACTTGAGCCCTGAGATCAGGTCGGAGTTTTGACCTGAATTCCTCAATACGGTCAGTCATGGTGCTTACTAACGTCAGTGCAAATTTGGCCATACTGACAAACTTTTGGCGATATTTGGGAAGCGTCATATCTCCTTGTCGTAACTCCACAAATTCGGTACGTTTCTCTTCACGGAAACGTGCTGGGATATACTCTTTCTTGAAAGCCCAGTTGAAGAACTCCCACGTCCATGGCTTCGGGGTTTCATTGCTCTCATCGGTGCGTTTCCACCATTCGTAGGCTTCTCCACGAAGTAACTGTGCTACGAACCTTGGGTAGTCGTTGAGAGGTACGTTTAGATCTCTCAACACTCTAGCGGTTTGTTCAATCCAATTCCAAGCAACTTGAGGTTCGGTGATTCGATCGCCCAGAAACTCTTCTGCTCCATTATCTTTCAGAAATTTGAAAGTGATCACACGCGGTGGCGGCGGCGGTTGTGGTGGAAACATTGGAGCATTGGCCACTTGTTGAACCAAGTTTGCCAAGAAAACAGGAATTGTGTAGTCAGGTTGACCACCAGCATTCGCATTGTTCCTCAGAACATCCTCTTGGTTGATAGGCTCGTTTTGGATAGGAGGGGTGAAGCTAGATGCTTCAGTGTGAACACTTACGTGTTCATTGCTGCCTTGTCCGTGTGCGGTTTCTTGACTCATTCTACAATTAACATAAATTCCTTTATTAGGATTCTTTATTTGGGTAGTTGAGTTCATGACAGAAATTACAAAAGATTTCAATAATTGATACAATCAAGGGATTCGATCAACAAGATTTATTCTAAGCGTTTGCGTTTAAATAGTTGGATTTTCTTGAATTTACGGAAGGATCTTCCACACCGGATCCGCAGATGCTGTTGGCAGAGTCTACGCTGAACGTCTCTTCCAGGTCATCCCGTTCCCATGCAGCCTTGCGGTGCAGATAAATCCTTCTTTTCATTATTTTCGCGAAGCGATGGGCGCGTATACATTTCGTTTGTTCTTTCGTCATTTACCATGTACGAAATTGCGACTTGAATCAACACTTGATATCATTTCCGAATTAACAGTTGACAACTATGAAATTCGATACAGACACATTTAATACTTTGATTTTTGTTACCTTCTTGGAGCAGAGGGATGCGAGAGTCGTGGATGTGATTGACAATTTTTTTATAGACAAAATATATATGTATATAATAAACATATAAATATATATAAATATATATATATATATATATATATATATATATATTAAATCCAAGTTTTGATCCGAAGATCGGGTTTAAAACCATTTGCTCTGATACCAAAGTATAACACCCTAATCCGTCCAGGTCTAGAGCCCCATTCGGACTAAAGTATAAACTTGGTATTCGTAAACATTCAAAATATTTCAAACATTTAAAACTTTATTTCATAATAATTAATTCAAAATAGTAACGGAGTAATTTAATGTTGCGGAAGCTTAAATAAACATAATACAAACATAATTAATTTATGTCTTTTCAAATAGTAATTTAAATCCAAAACACACATCCGTCCGACCATCTCGTCCCATCTGCTTGCAGGAAATCTTTTCTTCATTCTTTTTGTTTACCTACGTGTAGCAAATAAAACATATTACACGCTCAACGTTTAAGCTGAGTAAGCATATCTAATGTGTCGAACATCCATATAAACTGAATCTAAATTCATAATCAAATCATTTGATATCATGCACATAATGTTCAGTTCAGGTACTCAAAAGTCATAAGTCAATATTCAACATTCATTATTTTATTTTCACATTTTATCCGTCATTCATAATAACCACAATATTCAATTCAATATTTATTCATATATATTATTCAACGGTTTCCTTATACTATTCTTAGTCTAAGGCCAATAACTTTAATATTTGTCAACCCTTGAATGAATTCTAGTTTAAATAATTAAACTATATCCCAGTATAAAGTACTCCTAAATAATCCTTAAGCTAGGCCTAGTTTAAGATAAAAGGGTTTTTAAAATCTTAAACTTACCTTCACTTAAGGCCAACCAAAAACCGACAGCGTAGTGTTCACTGTTGGGTGGGTGGTACCCCCAAACGAGTAGGTACTCAAGTTTGGTTCTTGGATCCCGTACGTACGTTTTAACCCTATCCACCCTGGTTCGTACCCGCAAGGCCTAACCTAAATAGGTATATCTTAGAGGTCTTCTAGATACCTTTCAAATCAACATTAATACGGGTATATCTTAGAGGTCTTCTAGATACCCTTAACAATATATTATTTTCACAATCATCAATATATTCATTATGATTTAATCATTCACAATTATCATTTTTAATCAGAATATTTATTAAGATTTAATCATCATAACCATCAATCAATAATCCTTACCATAACATCAATCAACATAATATTCAATAACAATTAGCGGCCTAGCTTCGGGTGTTAACACCCTAACTTACCGTCATGCATCACATAACATTTTATTTGTTAAAAATATTACTTTTAATGTGAAAAATCATTTTTATAATGATCATAATCAATTGGTATCAAGAATAAGATTTTAGAGCTCAAAAATAACATTTTCAGACAAATTTTCGGATCAGAAATTCGGGGGATCGATCCAGCCCTCTGGATCAATCCAAACTAGAAGAAAACTCCCAGAGGATCGATCCAATGAAGATGATCGATCCATTCTATGGATTTTCAGCCACTTTTCATTCATCTTCAACCTCGGTTCATTTTTCGGAAAAACCATTTTTAGTCACCGAACTTCAATTAAAATATATAGAGATGTTCTCTATGGTTCATAGTTCATTTTGGTATCATAAATTCATAGTTTTAACATCAATTTAATGGTTTATGATTCTTGGTTCTTCAAGCATGTCAAACACAAAACTCAACCAAACGTTCGTTTATGAACGTAGAAACAATCTATACGAACATTCTAGTCACTAGATATATCTACGGGCTTACCTCGAAGCTTAATGGAGGTTTTGAAGGTTTTCTGGCAAAACTTCCAGCGACAATAGTTCTCAACTCCGGCAACCTCACACCAAATTGACAGCACCACTGCGATCTCCACACTCAAGGCTATCTCCCAGAATGAATTTGATGAAGAATGGTGAAGAAATGGAGAAGTTGGGTTTCTTATATAGCAAAAGAATGGAGGAAGAGGCCAATGTGATATGATGATGTATCCGTTCCTGTTTCGGCGTCTCAGTGGAGGGGGCTGCGGTTCCTACAGATTTTAAACGTAAGTCCCTGATTGGGACTAATTTGGTCCTAGTCGGGGAACACTTTTTGGTCTAACTTTCTCCGAATTGAAATCCGTTTACACCGTTGCGATTGTACAATTAAACTCTATCCAACAATATAATTTTTATATTTATTCGTTCTACTTTTTCTGACATCATATTTTTGGGTGGTTGACTTTGACAGAGTCAAAATTGATTTATTTGACTTTTACTCAAAAAGGTTCTTACATTCCATTCATATTATTTATTCTCATGATTTATTTTAATAAATCATTTCAAAGTTCATATCATAAACAAATTTCTTCATTTATCCTTGATTTGGGTCTGTACTCAAGTTCCCAATTTAGGTCACACAATAAGTCAACATATGAGACTTATTTTGATATTGGATAAAACATATTTCATGTCGGCCCAAAGCCCAAAAACAATTTATTTTAATCAAAACAAATTTGATTAATTGAATAATTATTCATTAATAATTCTAGGGTATATTTTGGGGCGTTACAAAGAGACTGTAGAAGAAGTCTCAAGCGATGATGACAACGAGTTTGGAGTCGTCATCAAGAAATTCCACAAATTCATGAAGAAGGAATTTGAGCGCAAAGAAAGAAAGCACGATGGTCCCCCGAAGTGCTATGGCTGTGGCGAGATAGGCCACATCAAGCCGAGATGTCCAAGAGGCAAAAACGGCAAGGACAAACCCAGCTTCAAAAAGCAAAGAGCATATATATCGTGGGGTGGCAACTCCGGCGACAAGTCAACCGACCAAGAAGAGGATGAAGTCACCAACCTCTGTCTCATGGCACACGAAGACCAAACCAAAGATATACAAGAGGTATGTACCACTTCTTCCGACTCTTACACTTTTGAAGAGATGCAAGAAGCACTTCATGAGCTTTACGATGAATTTGTTAGAGCTTCTAAAACTAACAAATCATTAAAGAAACGTCTTTCAACTCTTGAAAATGATTTTGAAAAACTAGAAAAAGATAATGAAAAGTTAAAACAAGAAAATAAATTTTATGGCAAAAGAAGCGCCGACAAACTGGAAAGCTCTTTAAATGAATGTGAATCTTGCAAGGCTTTAAAAGAAAAAGTTACGAAACTTGAGAGTACGGTTAAGAAATTCAATACTCCACACAAAGATATTAACTTACTTCTTGACACTATGCATTTCTCTAAGGAAGGATTAGGTTTTGATAAACATGAATCTAAGGATAAAAACATTGAGCAAACACCTAGACAACCTCCTAAGGCTCAATGTAAGAAAATTAAGAGTTAGAATAATAGAAAATCCAGTCAACCTAAGGACACTAGACAACCTAGACAACAACCTAGGAATGAAAATGTGCATGTTAGACAACCTAGGAAAAATTATCAAAATAAATTTGTGCATAAAAATAATTTTTCAAATAGACAAAATAATGCTAGGACACCTAGAAGAGAGAATTTTCAAAAACCAATGTTTTCTCAAAATAGGATGAATATGGTTAGGCCCCCTAGCAACTATTATCAACCTAGGAGGATGCACAACCCAAACGTAGTTTGTCATTACTGCAATAGGGTAGGACATATAGCTCCTGTTTGCTTCACTAGGCATAGGCATTGGGCACAAAACGAATCACACTACCACTTTGCACCTAACACTCAAGGACCCAAAAAGACTTGGGTACCTAAATCTTATTAAATCATTTTTGTAGGTGTGCTTGAAGGCTACAAGTGTACTTTGGTACCTTGATAGCGGATGCTCCAAGCACATGACCGGAGATGCATCCAAGTTCCTACAAATTAAACCCGCTAAAGGAGGAAACGTAATTTTTGGAGACAATAGCAAGGGAAAGATTATTGGCTAGGTAAATCTGAAAACTCCTCTATAGATAATGTCTTGTTAGTTAAGGGTCTTAAACACAATCTCTTGAGCATAAGTCAATTATGTGACAAGGGAAATCGTGTGACCTTCGATTCAAAATCATGCACGGTAAAACGCCTTAGTGACAATAAGGTCATTCTACGTGGTGATAGAATCGATAACATATATATGGTTAACTTAGACAAATCTCCTTCCGGCTTTGCTAAGTGCCTCATGAGTAAAGAGGAAAACACTTGGTTATGGCACCGAAGGGTAGCTCATATGAACATGAACCTTTTGAACAAATTGGTTTCACAAGACTTAGTAATTGGCATTCCAAAACTTAAGTTTGAAAAAGACACCATAAGTGATGCATGTCAAAAGGGGAAGAAAGTTCGGGCTTCGTTTAAGTATAAGAACGTTGTTTCAACGTCCAGCCCGCTTCAACTTTTGCACATGGATCTCTTTGGTCCTTCTAGAACGAAAAGTTTCGGTGGTAATTACTTTGCGTTTGTAATTGTCGATGACTACTCTAGGTTTACATGGACCTTGTTTTTTACGCATAAAAGTGAGGCATTTCATGTTTTCAAAAATTTTCTAAAGAAAGTTCAAAATGAAAAAGAAACAACCATTGTAGCCATAAGAAGCGACCATGGGGGAGAGTTCGAACGAAATCTATTTTAAGATTTATGTGACGAACTCGGCATTGATCATAAATTCTCAGCCCCACGTACACCACAACAAAATGGAGTGGTGGACCATAAAAATAGATGTCTCGAAGAGATGGCTAGAACTATGATCAATGAGGCAAAAATCCCTAAGTATTTTTGGGCGGATGCCGTGAGTACCGCGAGCTACGTGTTAAACCAAGCCGTCATTCGACCGATACTCATGAAAACGCCTTATGAACTATACAAAGGGAGAAAGCCAAACCTTTCCCATCTTCGAGTCTTTGGTTGCAAATGTTTTATTCATAACAACGACAAAGATAACTAAGGCAAATTTGATACCAAGTCAGACGAAGGGATTTTTCTGGGTTACTCATTACGTAGAAAGGCCTATAGAGTCTTCAATAAACGTACCTTGACTATTGAGGAGTCCCCTGATGTTGTATTTTCCGAAGATAATCCTCGCTTGGCAAGAAAGGATATTTGTGATGATCTTGCATATTCGCTCGAAAGAATTCACGTCAAAGACAATGAAGAAAACACGGAAATATACACCAACACGTATCCGCAAACCAAGGAGACGCCTCTAGTGACTAACCAAAGTGAAGAAGATCAAGAAGAAGAAGAAGAACAAGAGGAAGCCTAGGAACAAAAGAGGAAGAAGTCGAGCTTCCCGTTGCATGGAGAACAAACAAGAACCACCTGCTTGACCAGGTAATCGGTAGCATCAACCGCGGGGTAAGTACTCGAAACTCACTTAGGGACACCGTAGGACACATGGCTTTTGTTTCACAAATTGAACCTACAACCATTTCTGAAGCAATAAACGATGAACATTGGACCTTGGCTATGCAAGAGGAGCTAAACCCATTCAAACGGAATGACGTTTGGGAATTGGTGCCAAGGCCTGATGATCGTACGATTATTGGTACGAAATGGGTGTTCCGTAACAAACTTGATGAAAATGGAATAATCACTAGAAACAAAGCTAGGCTCGTAGCTAAAGGCTACAATCAAGAAGAAGGCATTGATTTCGTAGAAACTTATGAACCCGTAGCACGTTTAGAAGCTATTCGTTTACTTCTTGCTTTTGCCTCGTCTATGGATTTTAAACTTTATCAAATGGATGTTAAGAGTACCTTCCTCAATGGTTTTATTCAAGAGGAAGTGTACGTTGACCAGCCTCTAAGGTTTGAAGACTTTGAGTATCCTGACCACGTCTTCAAACTCAAGAAAGCGCTCTACGGTCTTAAACAAGCACCCCGTGCTTGGTACGAACGTTTGAGTAAATTCCTTTTGGATAGTAGTTTCCAAAGGGGAAAGGTTGACACTACACTTTTTATCAAGAGTAAAAACAACAACATCCTTTTGGATCAAGTTTATGTAGACGATATTATATTCGGTGCTACAAACGAGTCTTTGTGTAAGGAATTCTCCAAGTTAATGACAAGCGAGTTCGAAATGTCAATGATGGCGAGCTCACGTTCTTTTTGGGACTCCAAGTCAAGCAAAAGAGAGATGGCATATTCATTTGCCAAACTAAATATTGCAAGGAACTCCTAAAACGGTTTGAAATGGACAACGCCAAAGCCATGGTGACCCCGATGAGCACGTCTGACCATCTTGACAAAGACGAGAAAGGTAAGGAAGTAGAAGTCAAAAAACATTGAGGTATGATCGGATCCCTTCTCTATCTTATCGCTAGTAGGCCGGATATCATGTTTAGCGTATGCCTTTGCGCAAGGTATCAATCGTCTCCGAAGAAATCGCACTTAACGGCGGTGAAACGGATCATGAAATACCTTGTTGGCACGGTTAACGTTGGACTGTGGTATCCAAAAGGCTCTTCTTGTCATCTCGTTGGTTATTTCGACTCGGACTTTGCCGGTTGCAAGTTGGACCGTAAAAGCACGAGTGGGACTTGCCACTTACTTGGTAGCTCTTTAGTTTCATGGTTTAGTAAGAAACAAGTCAGTGTTGCGTTATCCACAACTGAAGCAGAATACGTTGCCGCCGGTAGTTGTTGTGCTCAAATCCTTTGGATGAAGCAACAACTCGTGGACTATGGCCTTAGTATCAATCACGTTCCACTTCATTGTGATAATACTAGCGCCATAAGCTTGACAAAGAACCCCGTTCTTCACTCAAGGACGAAACACATTGAGATTAGGCATCATTTCATTAGATATCATGTTCTCAAAGGTGATGTCGAAATTGAGTTTGTTGAAACACACAACCAATTAGCCGACATTTTCACAAAACCTTTAGAGAAAGAGTCGTTCTTCCACATTCGTAGTAAACTCGGAATCCTTGACTCCATGATGATCTAATTTGTGCATTTCATTGTTCCTTTATCTCTATTTGAACATTTACTAACTTGAGCGTCGGAGGGTTTTCTAACTCTTTTTTGCATGGACGGTTTGATGTGCGGGAATCAGGAAGTTAGGGGGAACCAGCGATGGGTGGATTATACCATCGCTGGGAGGGAAGTTCTTTTATTTCCAGAACCTCTCTAGCCATCGATGGGAACTCCCTCCCATCGCTGGGTACTTGACTCTCTTTTTTAAAATTTTTTAACGCTTTTCCAGAAGTTCACTACCCATCGATGGTAACAGTATACCATCGCTGGGTGTTTAACACTTGTTTAAATTTTTTTTCCAGAACCTCCCCACCCATCGATGGGTGTTTGACACTATATTTTTTAAAATTTTAACGGATTCCCAAAACTCTCCTACCTAGCGATGGGATGGTATAAACATCGTTGGGAAGGGTCTCTTCGTTGGTTCTTCACTTTCTAGTCACCACCTTCCCATCGATGGGCAAATCCAACCATCGCTGGGAAGGCAACCTTGGGTTCTTCCTCGAATTCTAGAGGTGACCTTCCCATCGATGGGTAAAGCCTACCATCGCTGGGAAGGCAGTTGAAGTTCAAAAAATAATCGCCGTTGGGCACCCAATTAAATGCCCAACAGCCATATTTTTGATATCCAACGAGATCCACACCTTTCCCTATATATATCCTTCATGTTTCTTCATTTTCACACACCATTTTCTCATCAAAACCTCTACCTTTAGCCCTTTTCTACATATTTCTTCTTTCTTCTCTCAATCGCCTCAACAATGGCCTGTGGAAAATCAAAGTCGAAGGCCTCCAAGAAGAAGGGCAACGCCGAAGCTTCGACCTCAGCGCCCCTGCCGTTTCCCTATCTAGACGGCTCTTTTCTCGAGTTTGGCTCGGAGGAGGAACTCACCCGGTTTCTCACGCACTTCGCCAAGCGCCCAATCTCTCCGCCCAGGGTGCTGCCCGAGTTGTTTCCCCAACAAAAGGGGTACCACGAGCTTGACAATCAGCTTCAAGCGTCGGGTCTGTGGTCGTTCGTCTCTAGGAGGCGCCAGTCCTACAATCCCGCCTTTGTCCGGGCCTTCTACTCCAATCTCCGCCACGACAGCGACACCATCTATAGCAGCATCAATCTCTACGACATAGAGATTGATTTGCCCACCTTTGCATGGGTTGTAGGGCCACCCATCCGAGGCGACGACATTGCGACGTATGGTGGCGACGATTGGAACCTAAACAACGAGGTGGTGGTCATTCGAGAGCTTGGGATCACCAACCTCATCCGCCACAGCGGCGCACCGATGATCCACTCGGCCCCGCCAGAGAAGCACCTTCTTCTCTACATCCTCACCTGGATTCTCCACCCCGGGACAGCAGCCATACCTCGCTCTTCAACGAGGATTTGAAGGCGATTCATGCAATTATCCACGGCGCCTCCATCAATTGGGCAAAATTCGTCATGATACACATGGCAGATTGCGCCTCACTCGCCACCGTGCGGAGCTTGCCGTATGCCTTCCTCATCATGGACCTCATCGTCTCCGCCGATATCCACATCGCCGGGCCAGACACAAAGATGACGAAGCTTTGGATGATCGCCGACGGCACCTTCCGGAAGAAGTCCGGAAACAGAGACGGCGCAGGCCCGAGTCGTGCACCAACTGCCGCTCCTGCCAAGGCCTCGTTGTAATCCATAGCCGATACCCTGAATCGGCTAACCCTCACGGTTGAGGGCATGGGGCAGTCGATCGAGCAAATGGATTAGACGCTGCAACGCCAACACCACGACATGACAGCGTTCTTCCGCGGCATCAACTACGTCCCACTGCCCTTTGATAGCACCATCCTCGATCAAAACTTTGAAGGCGAGGATGAATATGATGACTCCTATGCTCCGTCCTCCTCTCCCGACGAGGCCGACTTTGAAGACGCGGTCGACGGTGATCCCATGGACGTCGAGGACGACGAGGACGAGGACGTCGACTCCTAGACTTTTCCTTTCTTTTTTTCCTTTTAATATGATTGTATTTTTTTTTAATTTCCATTCCGCTGTATTCCGCATTTCCCTTTCAATGAATAAAAGTTCACTTTTATTTCTTTTTGTTAATGTCAAAAGGGGGAAGATATAAAGGTTATGCATAGATTGAGGGGGGAACATTTTTTTCAAGGCACAAATTGTTTAAAATATAAAAACTAACTCTTATTCAACACATATACTTTGTTGAAAATAAAATTGCATTTATTAAAGGGGAACATTTTTTTAAGTCTCAAAACAATCCTCCTATGCATAAATCCCGTCTTGTTTGCCATTATCAAAAAGGTGGAAATTGTTGAAACACGGGCTTATCACGTTTTCGTATTAAAGCCGTGCTCGTTTTTATGACAGGTTTTGATAATGCCAAACCACCGTGAACAAGACAAAACATTGAACATACAAGGCGAAGAACGAAGATAAGAACAAGAGCTAAAAGAAGACTAAGAACGAAGACTGTAGTCCTTGTGTCGTTGAGTCGGTCATAATTGTGATCAAGACCGACCCAACCTTCATGCCTTGGCTCTTTAGGCTAAAAATCTCTTATTGCATTTCTCATATCATAAAAATGTTTTTCAAACATGTTTAAAACATTAAAAGCACTTGGTGGTCGCCAAAACCAAAAACAAAGCCATCCGGCGTTCGGCTTTCGGAAAACTTTGGATTTTTAGGTCAGTTTTTACATCGGTTGGCTAGGTCGTGGTTTGGGCAAAAACCATGGGCTTTTGACTAACCACCACCCAGCGATGGGAAGAATTACCCATCGATGGGTAAGCAGACCTTTAGCCCAACCGAGTTCTAGAACCATGCAAAACAGCAATGGGAAGTTCTACCCATCGCTGTTAAGACCTTGGTCCAACATTATCACAAGGCAGAATGACCATACCCAGCGATGGGGACTTTTACCCATCGATGGGAACGCAGCGATGGAAAGGCATACCCATCACTGGTTAGGCATGATCGTTGTAAGTCATTTAAGGTTGATTCTTTCCTTGTTTGGAAGTCAACCTCCCACCCAGCGATGGTAAGCTTGTACCCATCGATGGGTAGGTGACCGTTGGCTTCAAAATTGAAGGAAAATTGGCTTACCAGCGATGGGTAAGTCCATACATCGCTGGGAAAGCCAATATCCTGCAGATCCACATTTTAATCAATCCCATAAATCAAGCCAATCACCCCTTTAATGCCTTGATCCGTTGGAGCCTATTTTGACACTATAAAAAGGGGTGTTTGGGTCTGCTTTACTCACCAACTTACTTCACATTTCTCATACTTTCATTGCATTCAAACAACATCATTTTCCATAGCTTTCTAGAGCAAATTCGTGTGAAGTTTGAGTTGTTCTTGAGCGTACTTAGTTTACTCAATATCTACTCTTAAAGAGAGTCTCTTTCTTGAGTGAATTAGTGTTCTAAGACACGTTGAGAGAAAGTATTTCTCTTGTTTGATTCGAAGGAAGGGCTGTTTCCTTCGAAGGATTCGTTGAGGTTTGTGTGACTCGAATTCTTAAGTTGTAAGGGTTTGTTAAACACCGTTAAGCTTAACGAGATAGTAGTGAGCTCGAGAGAGTCTCTCGGAAGGCTAGATTAGCCACAAGTTGTGGTGAACCAGGGTAAATTCGGCGTGCCTCTTACACTTCTCTTTACTTCTCCTTTAAATCTTTTATTCCTGCGATTTCTACGATCAAACGCTATTCACCCCCCTGTAGCATTGGTCTTTAATTCTAACATACCACACACACAGGTACCGACCGTTACGGCAGAGAAACAACCTAAATACTATTGTAACGGTACCCTATAATGTTTCAACGGTACCTCCTACCATTACCGTTGGAGAAAAGATTCAAAATCTAGATTTCAAATTTAATCACATTTAATTAGTCAAAATCATTCCAAATTTATTTCCAACGGCTAAATGACTTTTCCCACTATAAATAAAAGCTTAATTCTTCATATTTCAACAAGAAACAAAGCTCCAAACATCCTCCATTTATACTCTAAGTGTGTTTATTCGTTTATTCATTATTTTCAATATTTTGGCTATTTCAAAAGCCTTAAATTCCTAATTTTTATACACACACTTTGAGCTTGTGTTTTTATTTATATACTCTCATATCCATAAGTTTATATTTTATTTTTGAGAGAGTATAATCTCCTTCTACACTGTCTAAGTTTTGTTCTTCACTTTTATATTCTAGTCGTTGTGTAAAATCCTTGTTTGTATTCTTCAAACACACTTTCTTACGGTCGAGAATAGCCGTTAAATTCTCACGTTGTAGCGATCGAGGATAGCCATATAAATCCTTGGGTAGAAGGTTCAAGGATAGCCTTGTAAATCCTTGGGGGGGGGGGGAACGATCAAAGATAGCCGTGAAATCTTCATTGTAAACGGTTCGAGATAGCCATTGTAAAATCTCAGAGTGAATCCTATTGGCAAGGGTTGTTTGCCAAAACTAGTGCGGTCCTTAAGGAGGAGCCTTAAGGTACTGGAGTAGACATTTCCCGAACCAGTATAAAATCGGTGTGTCTTTTACTTTACGCTTTTATTTCTGCGTTTTATTGATTGCTTCCGCATTTGCCAACACCGTTTTTATTAAACTCCAAAAAGATTTTAAACGCCTTATTTACCCCCCCCCCTAAGGTGTGCACACAACGACTTACAATTTTGTTCAAGCCACCACCAAGATAAATATACTCATCTTCCACTTGAAACCTTCATTCAAAACCAACCCAATATTCACCCTATTTCTCCCTAACCATTCGGCCAAAACCACCTTTCCTCCTCCCTTGAGCTTAAGCCTAACATTTGGTATCAAAGCTTGTTGTTGAACATCTCTTGAGGCCATACAACACACTTCCAACTCTTTTCCTTTCTTCTTTCCTTTCTCGACCTAAACTACTGCCATAACTCTCTCTATCTTCTTTCACTTTCTTCAATATGTCAGACACTTCATGTTGGGAAAAATTATAGATTTTGATGATGATGTATTTAGATTGTAATAGGGACTTTAGGTCACCCCCATCACTCAATGTAATTTTCTTTTTAGAAATATTGTTAAAACCAAGTTCTTGAGATTTCAAATAAAACTTGAGATATTTTGTGTTTTGAGTTCATATTTTGAACACTTACTGATAAGTCGGTTTTGGGTTAGTATTTTTTATTCTTTTTTAGGCATTTTTAATATTTTTACTGTTTAATTTTTAGTTGTTTAGCTTAGTTTTATTTTAATTCTCATTTTTACAATCTTTTTATTTTCTTTCAAAAATAGTAGCTTTTTAATCATTTTTTACATTTTATTATTTTTATTTTATTTTCCCTAACCCAAAATTATTAGATACCTTATTTTTGGAGAAAAGTGTAGCAAAAGGCCAAGACGGAGTTCAAGTTTGGAAAGAAGAGAAAGATTTTTGGGCCAGAGCCCAAACCCAATATTAAAGAATCAGCCCAAAACCCCTCCTCCTTCCACTTTATCTTCACGCACAAAAAGAAAAAAAAAGGAGAAGTCAGCGGAGACTTCTTCTTCTTCGCACAACCAGCGGCGACCTTCTTCAACCAATGAAATGCCCCAACGTTCACCAATTAATGCTCCAACGGGAATTAATTCAACAATAAATTACTTCATCTTGATATTAATTTGGAGGCCGCTACTCACAATTAAGGGGGGGAACATCGACGAGAATAAAGCAGCGGCTTGGCCGCTGCTATGGTGTCTCTCCGGGCAGAGACTAGTGGTGATTCCTTCAAGCTCCAATTTCTTCAATTTCATCATCTTGTTCAACAAATTGGTAACTCTTGTTTGTTCAATTTCTTCCCAATTCTTTGTAAAGTGTTGTTTTTAGTTTAATTTTTACATTTTTTTTTTGCTTATTTGTGTTAATTTCAAAAATTATAAAAAAATGGTTGGTGTTTTGTTTTGGGTTTATATTTTTTGAATGTTATATTAAATTCCTTATGAATGAGAATTCATTCATACTAGTTTTCTTCAATTCTTGTGCAAATTGTTGATGAATTGGTTGAATCGCACAATTTGATTTCATATGTAACGCCCCGAAAATAAGCCTAACAGAATTAATTAATTAATTAATAATTAATTAATTACTGAAAAGAACCCAAAAATATGTGAATTATAAAGTTTGTCAATAAGTAATAATAATTATATTGTTATGTAGAGTTTAACTGTCTGATTTCAACGGTACAATCGGATTTCAATTCGGGGAAAGTTGGACCAAAAAGTGTTCCCTGACTGGGACCAAATTAGTCCCAATCAGGGACTAGCGTCTGGAAATCCTAGCAATCGCCGCTCCCTCCACCGAGACGCTAGAACAGGGAAACGGATGTCACCAAACCTGTGTCTTCTTCCTCTCCACTCCACTATATAAACCTCTCTAAACTTCACCATTTTTCACCATTCTTCTTCCAAGAGATAGCTAAGAGTGAAGAGAGTGGAGTAGTGCTGTCAAGAGAGCTTCCCGTCGCCAGAGATAGGCACAATCCTAGCCGGAAGTTTCACTGGAAAAACTTCAAAACCTCCATTACGCTTCGAGGTAAGCCCGTAGATATATCTACTAACTAGAATATTCGTATAGATCGTTTCTATGTTCATAAATGGTCGTTTGGTTGAGTTTTGTGTTTGACATGCTTGAAGAACCAAAAATCATAAACCATTAAATTGATGCTAAAACTATGAATTTATGATACCAAAATGATATATGAACCTTAGAGAACATCTCTATATATTTTAATTGAAGTTCGGAGACTAAAACTGGTTTTTCCGAAAAATGGACCGAGGTTGATAATGAATGAACAGTGGCTGAAAATCCACAGATTGGATCGATCATCTTCATTGGATCAATCCTCTGGGAGTTTTTTCTAGTTTGGATCGATCCAGAGGGCTGGATCTATCCCCCAAATTTCTGATCCGAAAATTTGTTTGAAAATGTTATTTTTGAGCTCTAAAATCTTATTGTTGATACCAATTGATTATGATCATTATAAAAATGATTTTTCACATTAAAAGTAATATTTTTAACAAATAAAGTTTTATGTGATGCATGACGGTAAGTTAGGGTGTTAACACCCGAAGCTAGGCCGCTAATTGTTTTTGAATATTAT